GTACCAATGTGGCAGCATAGGCCCCTCACCCTCTCTATCATCTCCACATTTGCCTTTCCATCTTTTCTATTTTCGTCGATATTCTCTTTTGTCTGTACATGTACCACTCCTTGCCCTTTATACAACTCGTCCTTGTCCGTTCAAGGCGTGTTGATCCTCTCGCTGGGACTGTTCCACACAGGTCCCGTCTCCCCCACAGCATAAAAGTCATGCTGCATCGGCGTTCGTTTTACCGGCAGGGTGTGGCGCAACGGATTTCCTTGTTTCTTGATTCTTGTTTCTTGATTCTTGTTTCTTGATTCTTGTTTCTTGATTCTTGTTTCTTGATTCTTGTCTTGTCCATTATTGATTCCCGGTGCTGGGCACTTAGCACCTATTTCTTTCGTTTCCCCGGTGGGACTTATTGTTTGAGGTTTTCATTGAAGTCTGGGGGTCTTCTTTTTTTAAGATACAAATGAACATGGTTCAGACGAAGTTGATGTAGCCTTCCGAAAGGATACAGGCCGTGGCAATTTAGTAACTGAAATACGCTGTGCAGCGAGTCATGAGTACATATGTACAGATGTCCACTGTATGTTGGCACGCAGTTGTTGAGACGCACGATAAGAGCGATAAGGCTGTCTGTATGGTCAGCCCTGGAGGACCTACATAAATGTACATAAGTGCAGTACATAAATCATAGTTTGGGTTATTGCCCTTGGCTTTGGAAATGAAAGGGAGAATATATATCTACATTATCATCTAATAGCTTCATTCCTACTACTGTTATAGCTATACAGATGTAAATCAAGTCTTAGCTATATGCCGAGGCGGTGACGGGTTTTGCCCGAGGTGTTCAAGGACATATCAGGAATTCTGTATTTTCTTCTCTCCATGATATTTCCCCAAGAGTCTTTATAACGATCTGGAATCCAACAACGCCTCTTTTGTCTATTTCTCTCTTCTACTCCTCATCCCCCCCCCTCTTCTTTGTACCACATTCAGAGTTCTTACCTCCACGCTCCATCGAGCCCGGAATCATGGGTAGGTTCTTCGTGTCCTCTTTTTTTTCCGTATCTTTGTATTACTCGTTTGTTACTCTCATCCGCCTGGTACACTCGAAGGTCCCCGGTCATTTCAGGCCTTCACCCAATCACCGTGTCTTGTCTACCCCCAAACATTGAACCTTGACGCCTGATCCTTTCACCTCCCCCCGCCTCCTCTCTTTTCCCTATTTCTTCCTATCTTTTGGTTTCTTGAGATTCTCCGCTAACAGCCTCATCCGCCCAGCCGACGTCTATCGACCATACCAAGTAAGTTTACCGATAACCTCGTTTCCTTTTATTTGTTTTCCCATTTCCCGCCGATTCTACAGACCATTCCAAGGTCGCGCATGGCTCTCAACTCTATATCAATGATCGCAAGAGTCTGGTCAGTGCGGGGGTGGAAACCGCCATGCCTGTTCGATCAGATACCTTCCGTATCTGGAGATCCATAGGGCTGAAGGGAAAACACTTTACCATCGCATTGTTTGATTCCAAAAAATAATTGCGATGTGTGCGCAAAGAGGATGTGCCAGTGGCCCCAAGCTCCTACCCCGGAGGTCCTCATTGCATATGAGACAAACACCCCCTCAAAGCTGGTGGTCACCTGACCCACGCCGAGGACCGCGACCCCCGGGGCTGCGCCTTCCACGGTAGCGACTGCCGTCTGAACACGTCTTTCGCTCCTTCCCATCTCCATTTCATCAAAATCATAACATTGCACCGCTTTTGCGACCGCCTTTCTTATCTACTTTTTGTTCATGTCTGACCACATCCAGCGTGAGAGGTCTCGCTCGCCCCGTCGCCGTTCTTCTCGCAGTCCTCCCCGACGCACCCGTCGTTCGTACTCCCCTCGCAGTCGCTCTCGCAGCCGTGGTGAGCGTGACGAATACCGCCGTCCCGATCGCCGTTCGCGATCCCCTTTGAGTGCTTCCGGAGCAGCAGCTGGACCCCCAGGCTCAGGCTCTCCTTTCGGTGGACGTAGTGGATACCCCCCGGCTCGATTTGAGGACCGCACTGTCGCCAAGGAGAATATGATGCAGACCGTTCGCGATTCTTCCCAGCAAGACCGCCGGGTCTATGTGGGCAATCTTTCGTATGATGTCAAGTGGCATCATCTCAAGGATTTTATGAGACAGGGTGAGCAGGGTTGCGCATTTGGAATAGTGATTTGTTTGAACATTTGAAGCTAACCAGGGTTGTGATTTTGTGTTTTACAGCTGGAGAAGTTCTCTTTGCCGATGTTTTGCTTCTTCCTAATGGAATGTCGAAGGTGGGCGCTTATACGTAGAGGGGCTAGTTCCTTCTATTTCCCCCGATTTTCGTGGTTTGTGTAGGGTTGACGGGTGGACATTGGCTGTCCTGATATTGTAGGGATGCGGGTGAGTACTTTCTTGTCTTTTTTTAAGACTGATCGCTCTTGCTAACATATCTACCAGGATTGTGGAATATGCAACCAGGGACCAAGCACAGAACGCTGTGAATACGCTCAGCAACCAGAGCCTGATGGGTCGCCTTGTTTACGTTCGTGAGGTATGTCTTCGCTCAATCCATGGTGTTGTGATTACAAGGACTGACTTCTGTCCCCAGGACCGTGAATCCGAGCCCCGTTTCGTTGGTGGTCCCCCACGCGGTGATTTCGGCCCCGGTGCCCGAGGTGGATTCGGTGGTGGATTCGGAGGCCCCGCAGGTGCTGGTGGTGGTGTCCGCCAGATTTATGTCTCAAACGTTTGTCCTCTCTTTTTACCCCCCGTTACGCTGAGTTCTGGCAGGCCTTGTTGACCGTTCGGTGTAGCTTCCTTTCAACGTTGGCTGGCAAGACTTGAAGGATCTGTTCCGCTCAGCTGGTAAGTGCAGTTCAAAAACCCCCTTGGACTTGGATTCCTACTTTTCTGTCTAGTGTGAGTGCACGGTGAATTGACCCGGATTCATATTACAGCCCAGCAGGGTGCCGTCATCCGTGCCGATGTGCACACCGACCCTACCGGACGCCCCAAGGGCTCTGGCATTGTTGCTTTTGAGTCTCCTGATGATGCGCGCAACGCCATTGCGCAGTTTAACGGATATGATTGGCAGGGTCGTCCCCTTGAAGTTCGCGAAGATCGTTTCGCTGGTGGTGGCCCCGGCTTCGGTGGTCGTGGTGGCTTCGGCGGTGGCTTCGGCGGTCGTGGCGGCTTTGGCGGTCCCATGGGCCGTGGAGGGTTTGCTGGTCGTGGAGGCTTTGGTGGCGGATTCGCTGGACGTGGCGGCTTCGGTGGTCCCCCTGGCGGCCACGGCGGGTTCCCCGGTGGATTTGACCACGGTGCTCCTCCTGTTCCCTCGGGTCCCCCCAACCCTTTCACTGATTATGCCACTTCCAACGGCGAGAAGAGTGCTGTCATCTATGTTCGCAACGTAAGTTTTGAGAATATGCGATGGGCAACTATATGGAAGGCTAACCCGAATTCAGTTGCCCTGGTCTACTTGCAACGAGGACCTGATCGATCTGTTCTCCACCATCGGTAAAGTTGAGCGCGCTGAAATCCAGTACGAGCCCAACGGCCGCTCCCGCGGTACTGGTGTCGTTCAATTCGATACTCCCGACACTGCTGAAACTGCAATTGGTACGTTCCGTTTGTATCGCAGCTGCCATATCCACATACTAATATTTGTTTTCTCCCACAGCCAAGTTCTCCGGCTACCAGTACGGTGGTCGTCCTCTGGGCATCACCTTTGTGAAGTACATGAATGCTGGCCCGAGTCACGAAGAGATGATGGAAGGCCAAGAGTCGACCGTGGGTCTGACCCAGGACCAGATCATGTAAAGCGCTTTCGTCCTTGTTTTACCTAGTCACTTTTTTGACATGGGGGCGTCTGGCTTTTTTCTTTCGCAATTTCGTTCATGATTCCCTTATTCCCATTTCAGTTCTTCGTGGCTTCGTCCTCGCAAAATGGGTTTCGAGTGCCCATTTGGGCTGATCAACTGCTTCCAAAATGGAATGAGCCTTTTTCTGACCCCCTTTTTTGTAGTCTTCGTAGTTCTCTTATCATTCAGGAATTCGTATCTCAGTATCATAGCATACAGAGCGTTGGTCCAATGGTCTGAGGTGTCGGCTCGCCCGGGCGCGTCGCGCCCCGATGACATGATATCATTGTCATCATCGCCGTTCGTTTCTGCCCCTTCGCTTTTCTTTCTTTTTGGCAGACTTTCCAGGGCTGATAATAAAGGTTATCTGGTGTTGATATCCTTACCTATCTCTCTTTTTGTCTCACCTTATCGCTTCTTGTGGCTTTTATCTCGGCCATGCGACGCGTACCTCTCTCTATGTACCAATAATGGAAGCCGAGTTGGAAGAAGTAGGAAATCACTCAGGTTTTATGCTTAGATCTTCATGTTGTTCGCGTCACGTGACTTCTATTGTTTTCTCACAGTTAAACTAGCGGCAATTGCTACGTAGTTTCTCCTTAAAGGCTTGGAGTATGCAGTTTGATTGCTATTCTAGTTTACAAGAGCCATTGGTTTGTCTCGCTCTCCTAACTTGAGAAGGTCCTCAGTAGTGTGACTAGACGACTTCCAGGATCTAACCTATATATTTCCAAGGCTGGACTTGCTATCATAAGATATTACCAAGGTTATATCTACATATATGTTATTTGACTTTGATGTTACCTATATAAAAAAGTGTGGTTGAGCGAAGCCTTAGGGAGCTCCAACTTGTATCTTTCGTATGTGTATCCCATACAAGAGGTACATAGACCCAAACCTAAGCATGGACTATTACAAGCTCGATACACATCAAGTATAGACGTCTAGTCTATCTATGTAGCAATCAAAATAGATGTGAATGTATAATACCATAGACATGTAGATTCTGCATACACACCAGGTCCATCTGGATCTTATACTATACCAAACGCACGGACCAACATCCAATCCATCTCCAACAATCACATCTTCATATCCACCTCTCCATTGTTCCACTCAACCACACTAAACCCATGGCCTACCTCGCCCGCACTCTCCGAAAAAGGGTCTTCAACCCCTCCCTACCCCAATCCATCCGCCAGACCCGAGCAATAAGCACAACAACCCTCCAATCCACACCATCCACCTGCACAGCACGAAACACACCCCGAACAAACAAAACCAGATACTCCCTCCCCCACCGAACCTACCACTCAGCCCTCCATGCCAGGCTCCCAGACCACTCATACACGAACTCCCAAACAGCAATCCTAACCTCAGCGCTAGCCCACGTACCCGCGCACGGCTTCACAGCCACAGCACTGACCCTCGGCGCGCGGGACGCCGGCTTCCTGGACGTCTCGGTGCAGCTATTCCCGCGCGCCGAGTTCGACCTCATCCTGTTCTGGCTTGCTAGTCGACGGGGTCTGCTGCGCGGTCATGTCGAGGAGGGTGGGTTATTCCGGCGCATTGCGGCGGAGAAGGGGAAGGATGTTCATGAGCTTACTGTTGAGGAGAGGGTTCGAGGACTGCTTTTGGAGAGATTGAGGATGAATGCAGAGGTTAAGGATGTTTGGCAGGATGTGAGTGTTTCTTTTTTTTTCTCCTTCCTTATCTTCTCTTTTGAAGATAGATATAGAAGGAGAGCATGATTACGTTCAAGGAAATTGGAATACCCATGCTAATCTATATGTTGCTAGGCTCTCGCGCAAATGTCCCTTCTTGCTAATATCCCCCTCTCTCTTACGGAGCTGCACGCCCTTGCTTCGGATATTCTTACTCTTTCTGGTGACGACGCTGTTGATGCGACTTGGTACACGCGCCGTCTAGCGGTGTCAGCTATCTATGCCAGTGCTGAGGTTGTCATGACCCGTGACCCGACGCCGGATCTTGTGGGGACGGCGGCGTTCGTGGAGCGTCGGTTTGAGGATCGGAACGCGATTGCTGATAAGCTTACTGGTATTGGACAGTGTGCTGGATTTGGGTGGAATACTGCCATCGGGCTGGGGCGAAGCTGGGGGTTGAAGATTTGAGGTCATTTTTGAGTGCAACTCTCTTCGTTTTTGGTATCGATCACCAGCCCACAGTCGAGGTCGTCGAAAGAAGACAATTGAAGCAGGCTTTGCTCGGTGGGAGGTGGATTTGTACTTCTCTTTCTATTTATTACTGTAAACTACTCCATTCTCGTCAGCGAAAATACTCTATTTTGTTATTCTGGGATCCAGTCCTCGCTAGTGTCCACAAGTATCCATGTCATGCAAAATAACTAGAGACATAACCTATCATGTCCCAACCTGTTCACCCGAACAGCCACGCTTGATGCCAAAAAAAAGCCAACCTGAAATGAGCCACGAGCAAAAAGTATATCTAATCACGAAAAGAAAGCGAATTAAACAGACCGAGAAGCAACGCTCAGTGCAGAGACATTCTGCACTGCCTCCTCTACACTGAGAGGCCCATGGTCATTGCCAGCACCATTGGCCGGGGCATGTGCCTTGTGTGGAGTAGCCTCAGACGGCGACACCAATATTGTAGGGGACTTTGGCGAGAACGGATCCGAAACAACACTGCCCTCTGGCGACTGTCCCTGTTGAGCAGACACGGTGGTGTTTTCAGCAGTCTCAGGTTCCTTCGATGGACTAAAACTGCTGGCGCCGCTCTCGACCGAATCACTCTGTCCATGCTGGGGCTTGGCACGTCCCCAACGGCGCGTCTTTGGCGGAAGTGGAGCCTGCCCATGTCGGCCTGTTCCGGCTATGGGCCGGTGATGACTCGAGGAAGGTGTGTTATGGTTGGAACGGCGTGGTGGCGGGAGGGCCGGGGGTGGATTTGATACGGCCCGTCGCGGCCGTGAACCTGGGGGTGCAAGAGTGGAACCTGACCCGGAGCCGCGGCGATCACTGGAATGTGTCTGGGGCGGTGGTGTGCTGGGGGTGAAAACGGTGGTGGGACTGACTTCGACACCTTCGGGAATAGTGTTTCCGTCGCTGCTTGTGCCAGCAGAGTGATTCTCTTCTTCATCCACGGCAAGACGGCGCCCGCGCCAGCGGCGAGATTTCGGTGGTTCTGGTTTGACCTTTGGTGGTCGGATTATTGGCGTCTCGCCATTGAGGGCGGCGACAGGGACCCCGTCCTTGCGGCTGGGGGTGATTATGCCTGGTTTTTCGTGCTGTGCTGCAACGGCCTGAACGCTCAGTGAAGATGCGGTTGCGGGCTCCAGGTTCATACCGAGCCGTTGGGCTAAGCTGTGTTTCCGACTCCCCGGTGCGTTAGACGAACTATACGAGTCCATTCGCGTTGGTGATGTCGTATCAGATGAGCTAGCGATTGTGCTTGCTCGCGAGAGTGTGCGGGAGCCGTCGAGTGGTTCGCCGATATCGACGGGTGAGGCGTTCTGCTCGCCTTTATCCAGGACAGTCTCGATTGTAGTTGCTGTCACTCGAGTGGGAGTGTCTTGCGTTTCTGCTGCGTCGGGCTGTTCGGCATTGCGCAGCCAATCCACTGTCGCGCAGCGAGCGACAAGTCGACGTGTCGTTTCATCGACCTCTTCGAAATGCATGATTTTCTCGTGTTCTGTGTCGTTCCCATACGAGACTTGGCCCCGAACAAGAACGCTGAGTAGCCTTTGAAGTCCGTCGCGCTTGTAGTGCGGCGGGTGTCGTAGCTGCGTGTGAGCTAGAAGCGGGTAAAGAACACGCAGGTAAGTATGCCGCAGTGCCGAGGCCTCCTCGGGTAGATCAAGCAAATTCCGGATCAATATATCGACCAGAACGTGTAGATCGTTGGTGAAGAAGTACTCGTATGTGCTAGGGGTGGTAAAGATGAGGTAGAGAAGCTTCAATGTGAGCAACTGAAGGGACGTTTCGGCTGCATGTTGTCAGTCATGGGTCCTATTGAACAGGAGGATCGTCCGTTACCTTCACGGTTGATAAGAAGAATGATGTTCTCCCCGAATGTCTTATACATCCCACCGTACATGGATAGGACCTTGATAACCTTGTTGGTCAATAGACCAGAGGGCCGGCCGTCCACCGGATCGTGGGCCGAGATCATGAATTGCTCGTTCAGAACCAGCTGCGGAATCTGTCAATCCCATACCCACCAAGATGAGCCCGAAGACAGTACTACAGTACTCACCAGCACCCGAATCACGGGGTAATGATACGGATCAGTAACATCGTATGAGAGATCTTCGATGATATCAAACAGACAGCGAATGAAATCGTCATCCACGAGAACTGCACACAGGCCCATAATCAGCTACCAGCAGCAGCACACGCGTATCCAAAACGCACCCAAGTCTTCAATCTTGACCCTTTGTATCCTTGCCATCTCATACACAAGGTCCATCAACAAGCGATGGAGACCCGCGTCGCCGTCGAGATCCGCCCTCCGCATTGCCTGTATAAGCTCGAGGAGACGCGCAAATGCGCCCTCCTCATTCAGCATCTGAAGCACAACTTCATTCTGTCGTCCGTCAAAGAGGATGAATGACGCAATGAAGTGGAGTGTATTCGGGTCATCGTCCTGCAACAGACCGTAGAGAATCTGTCGTCGCACGTAGTCCGCATGTGTGGCAAAGATACTCGACGTAAATAGCTTGTAGGAACAGCGTGCGATATCGGTTTCCGACCGGAGGTATTCATCTAGGGAAGGGCGGGTGTGTTAGTCGCAGGGGAAGCAAAGTTGGGGGCGGACGTGGCGCTGTTCGCGGGAGTGTGTCGGGGTAGGGATATCGCTTCTCGGAGATCTAGGTGTTGTTTACCTTTGTGTTGCGTTGTTAGACTAAGATAAGCTCGGAGGGCGTCGTCGATCTGGTCTTCGGAGTCACAGGGCTTGGAGACGATCGTTTGAAGTTCTGCAAGAACCGGTCAATTGTCATGTCGCATTATCTTGAAAGGAGAAAAGAGACTGGGAACAACGTACCAGTCCAGAACTCAGTCTCCGAGACCTCAGGCTCCATTTCCCGTCAGACAGCTCATGCCGGTTTATGTGCCGGTTTGAAGAGTTGGAGAGAGTTGAAGGGCGGGGGATTGGGGGAATTCGAGAGTCCCACTGCGGGTCAACCCTAAGGTACGCACTATATTACTACGAGGTTCATGGGAGCTACATTGTAGGTACGTGTTATAGAAGAACTTTCATTGGTATCAAAATGCTAAACACAATTATGCAACCGGGCGCAGGAATGGATGCGCTTCAGTATTTCTGTGAAAGTTAGTTGTTGATGCATTGTTTACAGGGCTACGCCAATCACTTACAGAACATATTTATCCAAGTCCACGACAGTAGGGTCGCTGAACAAAAGGTAGAAGTACTTCAACGTCTCGGATAGCCAGAAAGACTCCATCGTATCTTTATGGATCGGCTTCTGGGCTGTGACATCGTGGATGGCCGCGTTGGCCAGCTCCGTTCGGGTATACTTCGAGATGGCCTCGAACATCTGCCACCCCTTGCGACGCCAGGATTCGTCGCCAGTCAGACGGTACATGATAAAGACTGACTCAATTGCCTCGGGCCGAAGGTAGTAGTCCGGCAAAGGAATACTGGTCATGCCTGCTGGGAGGTGGTCTTTGCCGACTTCAGCGACGTGGGGCGAAGCGGGCGATGAAGATGAACGAGGTGCATCTCGGTTCTGCAGTTCAGTTTCACTAGGAGAATGAGTCGGAATTGAAGCAACAGACGATGCTTCCGCATGCTTTTCTAATGCGAGTCCATCGCGCTTGGCCAACACATCGATATCGTGGGGGTTTAATGAGCCCGGCATAGGGAAGGGAACCGACTCGCTCGCGGATCCTTGTGGCGGATCGTGCGCAATCATATTCACGCGCTGTCCGTAGCTGCTCTCTCCATTGCGGAACGAATGTCCTGCCCCGGGGTCTACGCGCGAGTAGCGTGCCACGCCAGCGTCAAAGCGGGCTTGATCCCACTCACAGGCCGCGCCCTTCTCACAGGGCAAGAGGCGGAAGCGCTCTGGCATCACTCCGGTTTGTGTCGACTCGTAAGCCCAAACACAGCCGTCGGTCAGTTTACTGGCAAGTTCCAGATCACCATCGATGCCAAAGGCCTTAGCTCCTATAGCGAACATACCGCCAACGAAACATGTCAAGTGAGTGCCTTCATATTGAAGGTCGGTAGGAGTAAGCTCTGCGACCTTTCCAGGTGTCATTGGATCACTTGAGGCCATGAACCGGATATCACGTCCACCTTTCACCATGGGCTGGAAGAGAAGAGTCTTACGAGCTGCAGTTGCTGCCTTTGTATACATATTCAGGTACTGCTCGTTCAGGCCACCCAGTAGCAGGTATTCCTTAGGCAGGTATTCGTAGGTCGAGTCAGCCATTCCTCCCATGGTGTACTCGTTATCGCGGGGTGAATTGGGAAGTCGCAAACCGCCATTGCATTGATCTGCTGATAGTGTAGTTTGCTCCCGAGCCTGAATTCCCGGTTCACTCGCAACTCGCGTATGGTTGGCAGGTTGCGCATGTCCTTCGATGTCAGCATTTGTGTCGCGTGGGATCAGCTTCAAATAACTCTCAAGGTCTGTCGGTGCTGCGTAAGGCTTGCGGGTCATCGTAGGAGTGCTCTCGGCCATACTAGCGGGGTGCTGCTCGCGCGTAGGGCTGTTATCACGTGGAGGTGTGTTCTTGGAGTACTTGGAACATCCCTGTGCATTGACCCGCAGAGGCCACAGTCCAGGGACGCTAGTCGAATCTTGGATTTTCTCCAATTCGTTGGTGATTCGTGCGATCGCATCATAGTATTTGTCCCGCTTGGTCAATTGAGCCAAACGTGTAAATTCCAAGGAAAGCGACCCAATTTCAGCCAGGCCAGCTCGGGAAGACGCCCGGTGCGGTTTCGCAGCATACTCTCTGAAAAAGTTTGGTCAGTCGTCGCCCACAGACGATCAGAGATAAATTGAGACTCACGGGGCCCAACGATAGTAAAGGTGCGGCATGCGGTTAGGTGTGTCGAATGCACCAATGAGAACCTCAGCAAGCTCCTCTGCTTTCTCCAAAAGCACCGGGTATCGATGACCAGAAATATCATAGGCACCCAAAAGACCTCCAAGATAGCGGATGGTTGTCTCGAACATCGGAATATCTGCTCTCAGTGATGTCTTGAAATCAATGTTTTTGATCACATCCAAAGCCTCGGAGAACTCATCCTTCAATTGCATAATCCAGAGAGTATCAATGGAATCAACCAATGTCGCTCCCCAACCATTAAATGGGTCTTCAAATTCCTTCGACAGAGGCTTGACTTCGTCATGTCCCATTGCGATCTCCTTATAACCTTTCCAGGCATGCGTGAATTCGGCCTTTATAACGCTAAGCCGTTGCAGACGTTCTTGCTTGTCAGAGCTCGACTCATCCTTGAACTTCGCTTGCAGCTTGGGAATCGTTTTTGACTGTCCCTTTGGCAGCTTGATCACCTCCTCTCCAGGGACGGGGAACCGTTCTGGGAACTTCCTCCACTTGGGCGTTGGAATACCAGGCTCAGGGCGCTCCGCTGCCCTTCTGCCCGTCCCTCCATTATCAATCTCCTCCCCATTCGAACTATCGGCATTCGCCTTTGTAGGTGACAACCTGTCGTTGCTCTCCACTTTCGCCGGTTCCTTCACGGGTTCGTTCGTGGAGCCCTTCGCGGAGTCCTTCGAATCATCCTTGACGGGCGTTTTCACGGGAGTGTCAGAGGAAGCATCCTTAAACCGGCCGCCGTCCTTTGAACCGCTGTTGGGACCCACGGGCGAGATTATCTTCTCTGGCTGCGGTGGGGACGTGGAGCCGCGGTAAGGATCGGGAAGCACACGGTTTCGACTCTCCTCGATGGCGGCAGCAACGGCCGGATTTTCAGGTTTTGGTGTCTCGGGTTGATTCGGATGAGCAGGATCGGGTGTATGAACGCCAGTAGACTCTTCGATCACTGTATAGCTCCAATCGCGTGACCGCGCAAAGTGGAAGAATGTGAAGACGACAGCCGCCGCGAATATGACCAGAACTCGGTATCGGCGAGCTCGAAACATCGCGAGCGGTCTCCCTTCAGGTTATATTATTTGAGAAAAAAGAAAAAAGAAGGAATGGAAGGAGAAAGAGAGAAAAGCAGCCAGGAAATTAGCCAAGTCCAGATGAAATCACGAGACTCCACAAGTAAATAGACAGATCCGCATAGAGCCTCCGCGTTCTATTTTGGTCTTTCTGTTCTTTGACATCTTCAGCTTCTTCCGATTCTATGTTCCTCTATATTTCTCCAAGTTTCTATCTCCTTTATCTAAAGAAAGAGATACGGAGTACTTTCCAATGATTTCAATCGTCCCAAAGATTCCACAATGCCCTGGAAGACCTCGGTTCTCGGGCCTCAAGACATAGTGGGGATTGCAGCCAGACGCCATCTTTTTAGGGCGGATTAACAGGGCTGTCGACGCCGATCATTGGCCCCGGATTCCGGACTGTGACTAGATTAAATGCATGCAACCCGCAAGGCTTTTCAAATTGGCCTATCATCAAACGACTCTTCCACTAGCTCAATGAAAGCGCTGCCTCCGTCTCAAATGTGTTCCACAGGGCTCACATTGCATATTGTGCTAGTTACCCCTGCAGCCTAAAGCCGATCGGGAATACAAAACACTCCATTGAATACTCCGTGCAATTACAATTGCATGCCCTGGACCTCGGGAGCATCGACAACAATTGGGGCCGGAAAAGATACCCTATGCACAATGCTCAAGTATAATTATCTTGATACGGTATTATGAACCAATGAGCTGACATGTGAATAGTCGGCCTCTGGTCCGCTGGTATTCTATATAAGGGGTTAGGAGAACAGATCCACCAACATGGCTAATCTTAGAATAGGCGAAGAGACCCAAGAGCTCACGACGGTCAACTATATATTTTTATATGACTAAATATATAAGCTATTTGGAGCTTAGTTTTCAGCCACCCAGTTGCATACGGAGTAGATCGGTACTTTATGGTTTGTGTTGCACGGCGGCAGTTGTGTGATGGGTTAGGGCACATAATGTGCATATCCATATCAGCATCTTGAACCACACCCACTCTGACAAGTCGCTAAACCTTTCTCCATCGAAGGTGAATTTCCTTGAGTATCTGGCTATATTCATGCAGTATTGTAATGAGAAGTTGGCATGCTCTACTAGCTGTATAACCGGGACATGTCAATAAGAACAGCATGTGGGAGGGTTTGTATAGGTGCCCGGAGTATATCAGTGATGAATATTAAGTCCCTGCCTGATGTGCATGGTGCACACAGCCATCCTATAGGTATTTCTACCTTTACCTACATACCATCTACATCATAACAGACAACAACATGATAGAGCAACCCAAAAATGTTCGCTAGAAGAGACTGAACTCCGCATGAAATGGTCATATATCGTGTCTGAAGCACATAAGCTATGATCTTCCTGGGCCTACCAATGTCCTAGAAGTCGCATGGGGGAACGGATATCTAGATTCCCACATTTGTCCGTCTGCCTTCGGTGTTAGCTTTCTGGAACTGCTGGATTAAGCCCAAAACGCCACCCCCGCCAGCAATGGCGTCGATATTTTCGCCTTCATCGCCTTCATCCTCGTCCTTGCTGAGCGGGTTCATGCGCCAAGAATCGCCGAGGTTACTGTTACTAGTGCCTGCACCTGCACTGGAAGTACCGCTACGAGCACCGGACTGTCGTGTTGTTGAATCACGGCCCTCTTGGGATAGTGGTTCTTCGTCGTCGTCGTCGATAGGATCCGTAGACGGGTGCTGGGAACGTCCAAGGCGGGCGCGCTGGTGCTGCTGAGGGGTGGTTCGGGCTGCGGCGCGGAAACCAGTGGTCGAGGGTTGGTGGTGCGGGTCAAGGAGGATGGACGGGGCAGGAGAGCGGTGATCGAATCCTCCCATTTGCCTTGGTTTGGAGGCGCCCATCATCGATTGAGGGCCGAATAGCATACCGGGGGTCGGCCCAGTGCGTGTCTGGAGATGGTCAGGGCGATCAGGAAGAGCACCGAATTCGGCTGCAGTGGGCGAGCCGAGGGTCGGTAAGGTTGGCGGCGGATGGAATGGTCGCCGGCTGGTAGGTTGATGGGCGGTACCGTAGTTGTCCAAGAAGCCATAGTAGGAAGCTAGCATCTTGCCGTCTTTAGTTGAGAAGTAATCAGTGCGCAGATCTTGCTTGCCAGGGTCCTGGCGCACGGGTCCGGCCTGGGATAGAACATTTGTGCCTTTCTTGAAGTCGAAGACGGCAAAAGAGCAGAGATAGCCTACCCCGTCAACATGCACAGTGAACTCCCGGAAGAAGTCAATGAGGCGGTCACTGCACTTGGGCAAGCTGAACCACAGGACGAAAGGAGTGAAAATCATGCTCAAGATCTCTTCTAAGAATATAACAATTTTCATTTGATAGAGAATTGCGAATTCTTTCCGCACGTCGTCGCTATGCAAACGGCCCTTCCATCCGGACGGGAAGTAATGTGTAAAATCAATCAGTTCGAGGAGTGCATACTCAGGGTCGAAGACATCGGTCTCTTCGGGTGCCAGCCCTCGCGCAAAAGCCCAGACTGTGCCGAAAATACCAAGATAGAATAGAACAGTTCGGTCAGGAGTAATCTCAAACCCAAGGAAGAGCTCTGGGTCTATCACCGAGGCAAGAGCCAATACCGAGGCGAGAGCCCCAGAGATGAAAGCAACGAAACGTGCCACTTGGACGGTCTTATCCTTGGGAAACTGGTCGATATAGCGACTGGCGAATGGATAAGACATGTTGATCCGACGCTCAAAGAGATGCCAAAGCTCATTGAACTCGCGAAATTTCCATTCCGCCATAGGTGTATATTGGCGGGAACCGATTTGGCCCGGGTTCTTCTTAAACTCGTTGAAGTACCGGAAGAAGTAGTGCATCATAAAATAGACGACGATAAAGGGGGCCACGAAGATGTTCATGGCTCCAGCGAACAGAAATCGTCTACGCAAGCCATCACTCAGCGCTCTTCGATGTGTGTCCTTGAGGAACAGGGTTCGCAGTTGACCTTGCTCATTAAAGACATAGTCCATGACACAAAGATTGAGATTCCATTCCATGGTTCGAGAGAAAAGTTGTCGATTTTTGAGGAATGGGATAGGGAGAGTGAGGTCCAAAATATCCTTGTTTACCAAAGCGATCATGTAGTTCTCTTTTCGCATCAGGCGGTTAGCAATGTCGTGAGCGTCCATTCGCTGCTTTGACTGGCTGCCCAGGAATCTTCGATGCTTGGCAGAAACCGCCGCCGCGGTAGCTGGATTCGAGTCTCTCAACGCCATCAGTCGACTGACCACTTCTTGCCAGGAAATCGTCTGGACTTCGGCATCTGAAACGCCGAGCAAGTAGAGGTAGAAATCATGCAGGTGTTTGAGCCTGCGAATGTCGAGTAAATACTGGAATAGCTTCCCGATCCAGAAGAAGCTGAATAGCCACAACAAAATTGTGGAGGACCCGGACATATTCGCTGTGCATCGGGGCACAAGGATATCATTCAGAGTCTTGCTCCGCCGGACCTTGGGATAATCAATGCAGTTGGTTAAAAATGTAGAGAAACCAACAACGAATGCAAATGTCCTGGGTGTACTGTCAGCTTCTCCTATGATCCTTTGGAAAGGGTATTATCATGAACTTACAAGAGGTTCAGCAGTCGGGTTAGCAGAATAGACCAAATTCCGTTCCCTAAGAAGTATACGTAGACATCCTTTAAGAAGTTATCCAGATCCTCGACGTTTGCCCACCGCCACATTGCTTTCTTCTTGGGGTCAACATTGGCAAGACCAGGGTGTTGACCAGTGAACCATCTCCCTATTGGATGACCGCTTTCACTCGGCGGTGGTTGTTGATGGGCGCCTCCTTGACCCCAGCGGGCTCCGGTAGTTTGCGAAGATGGTCCAGGACTTGGGGTTATTCGTCCATCCGAACGGCCATGAGACCGGGGAGGAGGTAACCGTGGTTTCAGATCTTCGTGATGACCTTCTACCAGCAGAGATTGAGGGACATCTTCATCATGATCATCGAGCTCATAGCCGAGTGGTGATTCTTGTGCCATCCAGCGAGGCCGAGATGACTTGCGACGGCGGGTGCCAGATGGAGAAGCTCGCTCTTCAGGTGCCTTGCCCGACCGCGCTTGGTGGAGCAATGCAGTGCTAGGGCTGATTATTTCACTGTCCTGCGCATCCGCTAGTGCATCCTGCAGTTCCCGGTCACTAAATTGTTCCTGTTGGTCTTCTATGACCAAGCCTGCACGTTCTTCGAGATCAGAGGATTCGGACCCGGCGTCATGTTGGCGAATGGTCTCGTAAACCGATGGTGAGCCCGTTGGGGGTAGGAACCGTGATAATATGTTAGAGGACATCATTTTGAATCAGACTAAAGGCTATAGTCAGACCACTCATGGCATCAGCTTCGAAGCCAGTGATGGTGGTGATGAAATGCCATCCAGCGGCGCTTGATGATGTGGAGCAATGAGGGTCACTACCAATACAGCAGGCCGAATGTTATCGGGTTGGGGGTGGATATGTGCCCTGGTTAAGGTGATTGTACCAGCTTATAAAGAAGTATGCATCTGACCTAGTCCTCGTGATAACAGCCACCAGGAGCTGTGATCATTCCCAGACCTGCCCGGGCGATAGCTATGATGACATGAAGAAACCCACCCGGAGGCTTGGCGCCTCAGGCAGATGTCTAAAAGTCATGTGCGTGATGGATACGTGACACGTGACTAGGTTCTTATCAGCCTTATCTTATCTCCACAGGTGACATCCATCCCGAGGTCCATAGATGGATAGATGGATCTAGGGGGGCTATAAATGCGCTTCATGGGTGTAATGAGCGTACTACGTACTACGCAAAGTTCTTCTTTTCTTCTCATTGACCCTATAATTATTCAATCGTCAGTCCTGTCAATTTAGCGGAGAATGGATCCCTTTGCAAAACTCTCAACAGGAATCATTTTGTTCCTATCGTGACTTCACTAGCTTAGACGGCTACAACAAATGTCTCCCAGA